CTTAAGATGCGAAAATAAGTTAACAGTATTGCGCTTGTATGACCGTTCTTGCTCTTTCTTTTGTTTACCTTATGTCTTCTTGATGTGCTCTGTTCATAATAATTAGTGCTAGTCGAGGTTAACAAATTATCGAGTAAAACGGCGTGCATATGGCTAGAAAACCACTGGTAACTATGAGCACTGGTGCTCGTATATAATGTTGAGCGATGCGACCATAGCGCATATTTCAGCTGACTGCACGTGTAATTTAAATGTTTGTATTACTCGTGATTCTTGCATGCATGATGCCATTGCTCGATTGGCCGTGTGAACAGTTTTGTTTCGCTCATTCCTGTTCATGCTCGTTCTTACGCACGCACCAACGTTCTCATGGTCTACCACTAGAGTTAGGCCACGATGATACCACTTGACACATGAGTTTTTGCATTCTCGTTTTGCCCCAGGCACTAACACAATGCTTAAAAGTTGGCGAGCTCCATCCCACACCATATCATTGAAGCCAAGTAGACTTCAGGTGCACTGTATGGAAACACAATAAACTTCAGCGCATAGCAGATGCCTCTCGCTCTCCACGCACTTCCGAGTGCGGAAAGCGCATGTGCCCAGCGCAGCAGTGGTGCGATGTGTCAGTTCACCGCATATGGCCCACGCGGGAGTCGGCACTTTGGACAATCCCGCTATTCTAGGTCACTCTAGCATTGTGGCGTCTGCAAGTTCAGCGGTGCAGTAAAATCTTGTGCCGCAAAATATTATCGCGGTATGCAGTAAGTACACCACGCTAACTGGTAGGCATAAGCCGAACACTGCAGCTTAAATGGTCCGCAAATGCATTAGTCTCGATGAGACCTAGTCGGGGATTCGTTGTAACTACGTTTTAACCGTTAGTACACTTAAGGGGAGACGCTCCTCGAAAAAGTTTTTTTTTTATTTCTAGTAATAGAGACTTGAAAAGTTTGTTATTAGTATAGTTTTTCATGCAGATTTCAAATATGCAATCATTTTTTGTGTAGCTGCTATAATTATTGAGTTATGCCATAAACAATAGCAAAAAGTTACATTTTTTGCGGGCACTCTTTTATGTACTAAACTTTCAGTAAAAGCACTGTGTCTGATCTTATTTGACTCTTGGTAGATTGAAAAGTGCAAATATCTATATAGATATGTCACAGAAATATTGGAACCAAGAAAAAAAATTGTATTGAATGACTTATTATTTTCAATCTCCCTTGAAACAATAAGCTAATATTTTCACAACTAATGCTGGTAGGCATTGCAATTTAGAGTAGATATTTGCATTCTGCATGTGTTGAAGAATATGTGTACCAAGTTTCATTACTATACAATGAATATAAGTTTCTAAAAGACTGCCCGGAAAACGTGAAACTGTCAGAAAAAATGAAAATGAGAAAAACAAGTTTGAAAGTTCGCAAAGTTGGAATTTATTAGGAAATCATTCTTTTTGCATCAAATTGGGGCACAATGAAAAGTACCTTGCCTTGAATGCACTGCAAGTGTCTAGAAGTCCCCTGCACCATAGCTTGGTCCTTCACGGCTCTTGCGGTCAGTGTCCTCAACACGAGCTCTCTTCGCTGTGTTGCGACGGTGTGCCCTCGCTTCTGCAGTTTGCTTCAGGTTCATCTTCCTGATGCGCATGACGTCACAGTGGTCACCATGTGTGGCCAGATCTTGTGAGGGGAGAATTCCAATGCCTTCGAGCACTTCTTCAAAGCCCCTGTGGCCTTTGTTATACCAGAGTACAGCAAGAGCGGTGGCTGTCTCCACAGTTGTTCTGGAGGCGAACTTTGTTTTTGGACATAGCAGCCATATCTTGCTGTTCAGCGATTCGGCTGCATTCTGTGTCTTGCCATGAAGGCACCGAATAAGGAGTTTCTCCTCTGTAAGGCGCTTGTAGATAGGCATAATTGCCAATCCTTGAGCCTTCGTCAACAGTGGGGTGTGGTGTGGTGCAGGCTCCCCCAGTGCTTCCGCACGCTTGTGCTTGCACCACGAATTTGGTCCCGCGGGGCAAAAGTTGTGGCTACTGGCACCATCACTGGAGCAGCAATGAAAATACGATGCCCATATGGCAGTGTACATATTTTGGACACTGTCCTTGTTGCTCGTGATGGCGATCTTGTAATATGTTTGTAGTTTTATTATTGTCGCATCTTTCAGTTTTTCGCCTCGTGGCAGTGGCGTTGCCAATTTCCGTAGGGCAGTTCCCAAGCGCTTTGCAACGTGGTTCGTGCACTCTTCTTTGTCAATGGGGGTGTCACAGTATACATTTGCCTCGCAGACTGCAGTGTAGGCCTTGCTGTCACCATCACTTAGGAAGCTGGTGAATCGCAGTGGAGTTTCATAAGACAAGGTCCTCTGCCATATATTGACAGCTGCCGCAGGTTCCATTGCATGGGATGAGCAGTCAGTGTTTTTTTTGGCAAACTGGAAGATGAAAAGCTCGCCATATCTCTTCATCCTCCCCAAGGTCCCTGTGTATACTGCAAGCATGGCAGTAGTTCGAAAGAACTTCAAAATCGAGGCAGAGCCCCGTGTCCAGGGACACGACTGTGCCCACTCCATTGTGGCTTTTATGACCTCTTTTCTGCCAGGTGCCATCAAACATGACTGGCACATCTCTGCCGCCGACTGCGTCCTTCGTGATGTTTCGTGCCTGGTGCAAGTTTTCGCTCACTGCCGTCATCGCCGCACCATGGAGCTTCTTGCAAATGCTGTTGAATGTCTTGTGATGCATCGGGCTCGGAAGACCGAGAATCGCACAAAATCATGAAAGTTGGTCGTGGCCTGCGCCTATAGCGCGTGCTGCCAGAACTGCCTTCACGTTTACAGCAAAGCTGTCACGCGAGCTGCCGCTGTCAAAACGAGCGCTCGTTCCTTGGTCCCCGGCCGAAGCAGTACGTCTCGACGTGTGCGTGAACGAAAGTGCAGATTCAGGGCAATCAGAATTTTGACAGCACAGTTCGAGGAATGCCGAAAGTCCTTTGCGCTTTCCAGCTGCCTCTCGCACGCCGAGCTTCCGTTCGCGGCAGGTTGGGCATTGCGCACCCGCCACAAGTGCCGTCAGCGCATCGGTTTCGCAAAGCAGCATGTTCGCAGTAGCAGCATCTACCGGTCTACGTTCACTCTCGAAGAATCCAATCTTCCTTTGGGATGCACTGACGAATTCCACGGCAGCGGCTATTTCACAACCACTGTCGCAGGGTTCGGTGACGGTGTTAGGCCTATCCGAAGTCGGAGCGTCGGGGCGTTGGTCGGGGGCGACATCGTCGTTCGCTATCGCTTTGCGAAGCGTCCGACGCCGTTTCCCTCGATACTTGTGGCGAGTTCTGAACTTTCGATTATCTGAACTGCACTTCTTCGGGCTTGCCATGACGCAAAAATGCAGAGAAACGCAGAAAAACTCGATCGCGACGTCCGAAGCTTCGCTCTTTTGCCGGAGAGATAGGAGGGGGAGGAGCGTGGAGCGCACCGCCGTCCAATGGCGGCCTCGCGCTGTGTGCCGCGATATTCAAAACGCATGACGTACGCATTGTTTTTCTCGTTTTTTGTTTATTCTGCGTGAAGGCACGAGACTGGCTACTAGTGGATTATGAAGGATACGGCCTTCGCAGCATGCGTGCACGATTGCAAATGGCGGCCAACGCGTCGTTTTCGCGACAGGACGACGCGAACTTCGCCGTTTTTCGCAACTTTCGCGCATTTCTCGCGTCACCGCTGCCCACTTGGAAGCATTTTTTGATAATTTCTCGTGCGAATTTCAGCTTGATATTTTCAGAAGTAATAGATTATAGTCCAAGGATGCCAATACAGCCGGAAAAAAAAAAGCGAAAATTTTCCGGAAAACCGCGACTTTTCGACCCGCGTCTCCCCTTAAAGCGGGTATGCACTAACAAAATTTGACTGGGGGGATGCTTAGCAATGTAATGTTGGTTCCAAGGGTGCATTCTAAAATGCGCAGAATGGCAAGTATTATTATGCAGGCAAGTTGTGGATAGCACGTCCAGTGTTAGTCGCTGTGATTGCTGGGTTAAAGTTGCAGTGTTCTTCCCAAAAAACCGAGCATAAAGAGTGCACCCTCAATTTACATACATAGCAATCTGTTGTTATTGCTGTATGGCTATTGTGGCATAGGGAAAAATTGAGTGTTTCTAACATTTTGTTGTTGTTGCCATTCAGGTATGTAAACTTTGTAAACAATGCACAAATAAATGTTAGGCTGTTTTGCGAGGATAATTTGTGATTTTTTTTGCATGATTTTAATGCTGTTTTCGAAAGTGATAGAAGAGGATTACACATAAAAAAAAAGAGAGTATGCTGGCACTTCACTGTTAGGTTTGTGAACACTTGGCGGAAAACGTGAATTAGTTTGTAGGAGCTAAAAGAGCGGATGCCCGCTGCCGCTCGCACTGTGTTTCCTACAGTCAACTGCACTTATCGTAGATGATCACATGAGATTTCCACCTGATGCTCTTTTCTGCCGAATGCGTAGTTTCGTGTAATGATTTCTTTGGACATCACTGACTATGGGCCGTTGATGGCTGTACTTCACTACTGGCTATCCCTGGACAAAAATTCTCTCAAATATTCTCGCAATATTCCCATTTGATGATGAATGAGCATGTTGAAAGAATTAAGCGTGTTGTTTAGGTACTGCATTGAAGATTTAAGATTAGATAGACTTTTTTATTTATTTATTTTTCTCAAAAACTGGGGGTTGACCTATATTCCAGGTCGACTTACATTCCATTTTTTATGGTAAGTAGCAAACATGCTGGTCATTCAGAAGCTTGGCTAGCCTTTCCATGAATGGCTTTTAGTCCCGACAATGTGCTGTTGTGATTGTTGTAGCTTTCTTTTTGCAGCTTATGGTAGTGCTTGAGAACGCAGTATGTTTCACATAGTAATGCCATGCCGTACACTGTGGGGCATTCTTGTAGAAAGCATGGTAATCACAATGCATTTGCTTGGTTTATCTTTGGCAGAGAATACGAAAGCCGCCCTCACCGCCGCCTCTTGACGATGAAGATAGCAGAAAGCCTGGTGATTCAGGTAAGCAGGATGCATGCTTGCTCGATTCACGTTTGACGTTTTATGACATTCAAAGAACACCTGACAACAAATTTGGAAACTTTAGATGCTTGTGTTGTTTGAGAGTCCTTTATGCGGGGGGCACTTCTGACCGATTATTTGTGACGAGCGTTGCCTGTAAGATTTCAATTTGGTCTTAAAGGTGCATGCTCGTCCTAGTATTCAGGTGCAATCGAGATTTTCTGTGGTTTGAAGTAGATAGGGGGTCATCTCGAAACATTGCAAAGGTCAAGCAAGTATTGTTGGCATCAGAGAACATTTGCGGGGCACACACAATACCCAAGCTGGCGCCCGGTGAGGACTATTGTTCGTCACCCCTCTTGGTAGGTTGTCGACTCGTCTGAAGGTGGTTTTTGCTGCTTACGCCAGGAATGCTTTTCTTTTTGATGGAGACTCGTTCGAAGCACCCACATCATTTCATTCTTCGCCGCCTGTAGGTCCTCCTATTTGAACAGGGTACGTTCAGCGTCAACAGAGCTTGAGCGCTTGTAGTCTCAGGCACGTAGGCGCGTATCGGTGTCGTATCTTTACAGTGCATGCGCTTGTGCTACCCCACCGACTGTGATAATTCATGATTCGTTCCATGTTTAGGGCCTATTCTCGCTCACTTCGCACTCGGCTCAGCATGCCCTAGGCACACATGCGGAAGTATAAAAACCGCGTGACACAGTGGCTTTTACCTTGCTGAGTTACTTTCATTTGATGTCGGCGTTCACAATAACAGCGGGACATCACTAGTTGCACTTAATAAGTCAACGAACTACAACATGTAGAGCTCAGTTCCTCACAAAGGCAGTCTATGCTAGATTACAGCTGTACATTTACTTACGGTTCTTTGCCATTATGTGATAGCGATGACACTGAATCTGACTCTTCTGACGGGAGGCTGTTGCCAATGCGATTTTGGTTTAGTTTTCATGCGCAGGCAATTTTGGACTGTGTTTATTGGTAGAAAGATGTGTGTTGGATTCGTTTTTTTGTAATGTTGAGCATAAAGATTTGCTCATACATCCTCTAAGTAATGCTGCCATTTGCAGCCACTGGCGAGAATAATTTAATCTACCTTCCTTGCGTGTAGGCCTGTGTGCTCAGATTTGGGTGCACGTTAAAGAACCCCAGGTGGTCGAAAGTTTCCGGAGCCCTCCACTACGGCAGTCTCTCATAATCATATGGTGGTTTTGGGACGTTAAACCCCACATATCAATCAATCAATCTACCTTCCTTGCAGAGGCACAAGGTCATGCCGTGGGCTTGTTCAGAGGGTCTGTTCGTGTTATTTGGGCAACGCCAACTGTCACTGCCTCTAACTCTAAATGTTTGATTAGATGACGCTCGGATTATATGTTTTTGCATGGTCCCCTGAAAGTCGTATAATCGGGGTTCTCCTGTCTGTTGTAACCATTAGTAGGAAATTTTCGAATAGGGGCCCCAAAAGTTTGGGGCCCCAAAGCTTTTTGTGTATGCACGTTTTTCGGCCAGGCAGGAGTGAAAAGTTTTGCAATAGGGTCTGCAGTGCTTCAGACACTCCCTCTAATCTAGGTCATTCTAGTGTTGGTCGAGAGCCGTCATGTTTGTCTGACACAAAGCGTTTTAGGGCAGGCTCTAGGGCTCCCGCTAAATTCGAGAAATAGCGTCCCCAATGCAAAACCCAAACTCTGTGTGGGTCTCGCACATGCGCAGTGGCCTCAATGCTGTTGATTTGGGGCCTCAAAATGATAGCAGTGTCCATTCGAAAGCTCCCTAGTATGTTTAAAGCTGGTACGTAAAAACAGGGTTTCACTGTATAAGATACGGTAACTGGTGCTCTCTAGTTGCTGCTTGCAGAAGTTAACCAGCCTACAGCATGGCACGTGAGATCGCTCAGTGCACGAGGACATGTTCAAAGATGCATTAGTGATTATACCTTTTCCCCCTTCCCACCCCCCACCCAATAATTTTCATACTTTAAAGTGCGGGTGGCAGCCTTTACAAGAATAATATTGGCATGGCCATTGGTGCAGAGACATAGTGCAGGTCTTTCTACTTCCCTCAAGATGAAATCCTGGTTGTTACTAAACTAAGAGAAGCAGATACATATGTCTATTCATTTTATTGTGATAGCACTTTGGTGGGTTTTTACCATGACCGCTGTGACCCATATGTTTGTGTGTGAGTGAGTGAGTGAAAGCCGCAAATGAAAACATATCGGAAGAAACATTTTGTGAAGCACTGGACCAGAAACTAAAACTTGCGACACCTCAGTCCACGGTGCGCTGTAGCTGACTCGGCCGCATGTCATGCGTAGTTTAGTACTATACTAATGGTGAGCTATTTATATACACCATTTACTACCACTTGTGGTATACAGTGCTCGGAGGTACTTTAGCGTGTATTCACTTACTTACAAGATGGCACAAAAGGCATGTTATGAAAGCAGTTGCCCATCTACCGTAATTACTCGAATCTAACGCGACCGTAATTACTCGAATCTAACGCGCACCTTTTTTTTTCGGTTAAGCGAGTTCATAAATCGCATGCGCGTTAAAATCGAGTGCAAAAAAAAAAAAAAGAATACGGTCATTCTATTGCCATCGGCATTTCCAAAATGGCCGCCCCCTACTTGCTTTGGCATGGTCCGCATGGCGCATCGGCCATTTCTGCCTGTGTGTAAAAGCGGCACCACGATGCTGCTTTTAAAAGAAAAGTCATCGCGTGTGCCGAAACAGACGGAAATCGGGTCGCATCGCGGTCGTTCGGAGTTCCCGAAACGTGCGTGCGGGACTGGCGGAAACAGAAGCAGAAGATTGTCGACAGCAAAGATTCACGCAAAGGCTTCAGTGGACCACAGCAGGGCCGGTTTCCGTAAATTGAAGAGCTGCTCGCCGAGTATGTGCTTGAGCAGCGAGCGGCACAGCGGCCCGTGACGACAGAACTGCTCTAAGTGCGGGCTATGCAGTTAGCTTTAGAAAAAGGGCTAACGTGGAGCCAGTTCAAAGCGAGCAGGTGCTGGCTGACTAACTTCATGAAGAGGAAAGGCTTTTTCCTCCGAAAGCGAACGGGCATGGGCCAAAACTTGCCGGAGGAGTACGAAGAAAAGCTTCACAGTTTTCAGAGGGTCGTCCTAAACTTGCGGCACAACAGCGGCTACCTGCTTGGGCAAATCGGGAATGCTGATCAGATGCCTCTTTACTTCGACATGCCTGGCACAACAACCGTCGAGGAGAAGGGGGCGAAGCAACTTTGCATGCTGACATCGGGCCACGGTAAAACAAGAGTGACGGCAATGCTCCGTTGCACATCAGATAGGCACAAGCTTCCCCCGTATTTAAACGGAAGACGCTCCTGAAAGGAGTCGTTTTCTCGACTCCTTGCGGGCCAACGAGAAAAATGGGTGCGCGTTGCAATCGATGTCTTACTTTTTTTTTTCCATCGTGAAAACCGAGTGCGCGTTACAATCGAGGGCGCGGTAGAATCGAGTAAATACGGTAGTAGCTGTGTTGTGCAGACTGCTCTTGTGTTTGGAAGAGCAGCAGCATTTGAAAGTTGGATAAAGCGCTGGTGGTGTTTGGTCAAACACATGTAATGCCACATTTGGTGAATTAAAAATTATCCAAAACATTGGCCATTCTGCATTTGTGTCGTTTTGCTGGAGATCCACACTAGTTTTCAATTTTTGGGTCTTGAGGCACTAGCGCTCAAGAGTGGTATAGGTTCTGTGCACACACCCTGGCTACTCACAAATTTCTTGGGCCCCCTATTCAGTAACTCGGTAGTGTTTCACCAGAGTCGAGATGCGGGCCTCTGACTTGTATTTTAACATGCAGGGTGTGATCACCCATGCTTGCGCGCTTACCTCTTGAGTGGACGTTTGTCCATATTGTTCTTTCACCACAAAGTTTGCATTGAAGCTATGGACCACACAAGGGTCACTTCGCTCACTGCAGTGGCTGCTTTTATAAAGAGCGATCTGTGAGCTAAAACAGCCAAAGTAGTGGCTAGTTGAAGTAACAACTGTGACAGCTGTTAAGCGTGTCTTGTGTATACCGGTACGTTCTTTTCATGCGTCCTGTGTTGTGTTAGAGCAGCACACTGATATTGCCGAGCAGTAACAGTTTGTTCATGCTCATTTTGTGTGTGTGTTTTTTTATGCATTCCATTTCAATTGAGCAGCACTGGGGCAAGTTTTAAGCTGCTTGACACTCTTTGTGTGATATGCCAACTTCTTGTTGCCATTCATTGCGTCGCCTTGACTGTGACATTTTGTTTAACATTGTGTTTTGTCTATACTGTTCTAGATTTGGAGTTTGAGCAAATATCGGATTCTGAAAGTGATTCTTCTATACAACGAAGGCCCGTTATTGATGAGGAACCAAGCACACAGGAGAGTGACAGCGACAAGGCAGATTCCTGGTAATTTTCTGCAGTAGCTTTAGCGTGTTCGCACTTCGTGGCTTTGAGATGGTCAAGGTTTAAATCTGTCAGTCATCCTGCAACCTATTGCCCTAGCAGATTGTACGAGAAATATTGTGATTACGCCTTTTTTTGGCATGCGTTGCAGAGTGCCTGGTGCCACCTAAATGTGCCAGACTCGTTATTCTATAATTGTTATTCACAGGCATGCGAGGGCCCAGCATTTAGGGGGCCACCGTAGCTGGGCCTGCACCTTCATCTCCCCTTGCCACGCTTGGCACTCATAACAACACCATCGACTAGCACAAGCAACTTTCACCGAATGCCTGGTTTATTCCTAATGAAACGTGGATTTCAACTTAATATTTCCACAGTTTAATGTAGTGTAAAAGTTTTGCGTAGCTCTTTAAAAGCGGTAAATATATGTAACCTGTTTGTATATACACTCAAACCTCAATATGGCGAAATGTTGGTTATAACAAAGTAAATGAAAAATACACTTGCAATAGATATAGTGTTAGGAATAAACCTTCATAACAAGTTTTTGAATATAACAAACTTATTTTCGCGTAAGAAGCAACTTTTTGAGTGTACAGCAAACATTTCCAGAGCTCTTTGTTGCTGTTTACCCGAGATAACTCAGGTTCCTCATGCGGCTTGCAATATAAATAACTAGACCAAATTCGAGCCTCCTCCCTTTTTTTGAGCTATTAGGGCTGTCCCCCTACCTCTGCTTGTGCCCCTATGATGTAAATACAGTAAAATGTCAATGAACATAACCAAAAGGCATCTAGGAAGTGTGGCCCATTTTAACAGCAGTTTCATTTTCTTAGAGTTCCGTACAGTGTATAGGAGTGCAGCTCTCAGTCACCGAATGAAGCTTATTAGAGACAGCTGTCTCATTTAAGAGGACAGTTTTCATTTGCTCAGATTACCTATATCTTCGGGAATTTTATATGGTCGTCTTCGACAAAAGGTGCACTGGGAATGAACTGAGAAAATGTTTACTATAGTAATAAATGCTTCAACAAGGAAAACTTGGAAACACGGCACTCTCTCTGGCCGCTATGCCTGGACCTTCAATGGCGGTTCGGAATTAGCAGCCCCCTGGGTTCCCGTGGTGCCTCCTTACCACGTATTCTCCACACATTTTGAAACGCGCAGTGCACCACGCGACCTTGGTTGTTTCCTTGTGTCAAAGCTGGTGGCAAGTGGGATTATTGGTGATCCCCTCATACCGTGCAGTAATAAGAGCAAAATTGAGAGATGGTGATGAAATGGGCCTGCTGAGAAACACTGATTTCACTTTACAGCCGTGATGATGGAATTTTTGGGACAGTGGGCATGTGCCACAATACGAGACAGATATGCAGGTTACAGGCTTCAGTGGGCAAGTGGTTAGTGAGTTTTCCGTGGTAGCTAGCTGTGTTCATGGCAGCATTAATTTAGGGATCCTCCTGTTACTGTAGGATCCAATATTTGCTTTTAGATAGTTTGAAGAGTAATTAAAGTTATTCCCTTCTTTGTATCAAGTGAGGTTCAATATGTTTTGTATATGGTGCTTGTAGTTGTCGAGTAGCAAGATCAACTTTGTGAAATGAAATATTGGTGTCAATGCTGCTTTAGCCTCTAAATTTCCAAAAAAGTTCTTCATCTAAGCCAATTAAAAAATTGTTAACTCTTATTTAGAGCCACAGAAAAAAAAGGGAACAAATATGTTGTTCCAATAAAAAATCTAGGTGTATAGTAACTTAATAATTAATACAATTCACTGTAGTAATGAGCTAATGAGTATTTGTTAAACTATCCACAGCTGAATCTTAACTTAAAATGGTAAAGGCATAATCTAAAGTTACACTACAGGCTATCTACAGTTAAACCAGCTTATAAGGAACCTTCATATAATTAATTCCTCAATATAATAAAGTTTTTCTACACCCCGTTGTTGCTCCATAGAAGAAAATGTATTTGCGACCTCTATGGAACGCGGGTGACAAAGTAACAGCAGGAGACAACTCAGTTACTCTCGGGCAATCTAGGAACTTCGCCCCATATTTTGTCATTTTGGTGCGAGCATGCATCTTTCATGGGCGCCTCGACGAAGCAGCGAGGGTGTGCATGGTGCTCTCGTGGCCCCAGCGACAATCGGGCAAGAGCGAGCGCTTGTTTTTGCGCGCTGGCGAGCGCGAGGCAGGCATTTCGCCCCATGAGCCGGGGTTGCCGCCGTTCTTGCTGCAGGGGGGCATGTGCGGATGTGCTTTTCCCCTCCAAGCCAAAAACAAACAGAAAAAAGAAAACTACTTTTGAGTTGGCAGTGCCATGATTTTTAGCTAGCATCACATATGTGGAACCACGCTACAAATGGAGGGCGCTATACGAAATAGTTTTCTGTAGTATCCGTGTCGTTCGCTCTTGCTCGTGCGTGCATGGTTTCACTGCGTGTGTGTGGTGTGGCCCCTGACGACGCTCAGCTTTGCTTTTTTCCTTTATTGTTCTTTTTCTCAATGCGGACAACTGTGTCATCTTTGCCAAGGGGATGTCGGATAGGGTGCTGATGGAAACTCTCCTAGACATTGGTGATGATGGATCTTCGAAGGTCGACTCGTCATGCACTTCTCTCTTGCACCTCGCTGCTAGTTCGTAGGCTTGTATCTTTGCATTTAGCTGATTAGGTCTGGAAACAAGACGACGGCGCATTGAATGCAATACAATGAATGTGATAGTAAAAAATTCTAATGTTATACGAAGTAAGGCTGGCAGCCAACTCTTTTGGATCCAAAATTGTGCAACTCCTACAAAACGCCGGTGCACACAGTTACAGCCACTCCAGGGAGAAGTGCTCTTTTCACACAGTCTCTTCACATTGAAGGCGCACTGATGAACGCGCCAGCTATTGTAACTAGAGCGCCCCCCCCCCCCCCCCAGCGATTTTTCATGCTGTTCAAGACAGGTGCTTTCATTTGACGGCAGTTCTAACACGCGGGGATGTTACCTTTTGCACCTTCCAGGCGATAGAGATGGGCCGACTCATCTGATCTCTGCTTCAGAAGTGCTGACACGCTTTTACTCACTCATGAAAATTACGATGCACGACGATAGAGATGGGCCGACTCATCTGATCTCTGCTTCAGAAGTGCTGACGCGCTTTTACTCACTCATGAAAATTACGATGCACGGGGGCATGTTATCAATTTAGACTTTTTACGGAAGATGGCGTCGACGATAAAACCTGCTGAGAGTGTCCATAGAATTGCTATTGCAATAATAATGAAGTTCTTCACCACTAAATAAGTGTTTTGGGTTAGCTCTGCTTTAGTCCCACTTTTGTTTAATTTGTGTGTTCATTTTCCAAATTTTTGTATTGAATCTCCATATAACAAAATCCTCTCTATAATGAATTCTTATAGAATTGATCAATTTCTTTATATCCAGGTTTAACTGTAGCACTCTTGTGGTTTTTTACGACAACATTTTGCTTAGAGGCTTCTAATCTTTCCATGTAGTTGGACGTAACGACTTGTTTCTTGCACTTGATTGTGGAATGTGAGCTGTCAAGCTATCTGTCGCCTTTATGATAAGTGTAGAATCGAAGCATAAGGTTCCTATATATAAAGATGTTGAAAAGTGCAGTGTTCACAAATAGATAACAGATTTATTTTGCTTGTTGTTTATGCTAATGGATTTTGGTTGTTATTCATTGATGAAAGTGGTACATTATCATGTTTATATGTTGAATTGGGCTAGCCTGAAATGTAAAATGTCAACCATTTGTGTAACTGCAGTTGAATTGGGAGAGAAATTTCATTTTTTTTTTCTAACACCCCTTGTTTACATTTTTGTAACAGATTCTGAGTCGGAGTCTGACGAGAGCTCAGAGTCCGACAGTAGTTCGGAAGGTGAAGATGATGAAGGGTCCTCTTCATCGTCGGAGTCTGCAGAATCCGATTCAGAGTCTGAAGTTGAGAAAGCCCAGAAGGCTGCCAGCAGCGATGAAGAACTCTCCTCTTCAAAGCCAACAGGAAAGGGTTCACGAATCCTTTTAGAGCTATCTGCATCAGACATATCGGAAGATGAAGAACCTTTGTTGAGTGCAGGAATTGTACAGCTAAGGTAAGAACCAAACTCACTATTTCTTTGTGTACCATATTTACTTGCATAATAGGTGTACTCATATAATAGACGCACAGCCAATTTGGTCACGAGGAACTTCTGCACATAATAGGTGCACCCTGAACTTGGCCGTGATCAGTACTTCTCCACCGTATTTGCACGGTTGCCATTCGACGCCTTATTGCATTTGGTAAAGAGAAGAAAAAGAAAAAAAAAAGAAGACCACAGCAGCCTTGCGTTTCGCTAGCTCGCCGAGTGAGAAAGAAGTCCGGTTGTTTGGGCGTTAAAGTGTAGCTCCGACCGCTAGCTGGCCGCGCACGCTTCGTATGGAACACGCGATCGCGTCTTCATAGTGTATGCATTGAGCGGAAAAGATGCCGTCGTTATCGCGTTTGGTACATCATCGCAAATTTAAATGTTTTTGGGTTTTCCGATGCAAGCTTTTGTCTTTGTTGTCACTACGCGGACTTGCACTAATCTCAACGAACTTTTGTCGCCTTTTATCTCCGGGCCACGAACCTAAACATCGTATCATGCACACAGCTCTTGGATCAGTGCTTGAGTGTGATATTGCAGACAACCAGTTTTCATGTTGTCTTGTACAAACTTTCCGTGACAACATGCCGGATCATAGGCTAGGCCGAATCACTGTTCATGTTTTCAGTGGCAGTTGCGGGTGATCATATTGCGGTTTTGTAGGGAGTCAACATAACTCATTTTAGTGGCTCTACTTGAAGGAAAAAGGGGGCTTGGGTGGCGCTTGTAACACTGTAGTGGTGGTTTGTGATTCGATTGCAATATCTCATATATGGTGTGCGAGCTCATGAAATCGAATGATCGGTGCCGTTCAGCATAATCTTTCTAGGCTGAAACGTAATCGGTGAATTTATGTGATGGGGCGCTTTCTTTTCGCAGTTTTTTGTTTCACGTTCATTTCATTGTTAGCGCATGCCTTCTGAAGTTAATTTTTGCAAATTTGAAAGCATCACCTGCCTCGATTCTCGAACACGTGCTGAAGACGTTTTGCAAAACGTGTTCACGCTTAACACTGCTCGCTGAACACATTTTGCGAAAGTGCAGCCTATAAAGAAAGTTGTTTCAGCCGTAGCGCGGATATTGGTGACTTCGGCGACGTATACATTATCAGTGGTCTAAATAAAATATTCGGAAATTTCACCCGGCGTAATAGGTGCACCTTCGAACTTGGAGCTCGATTTTCTGGAAAAAAGTGTGCCCATTATGTGAGTAAATACGGTGTCTTCATTTATAGGTGGTAGTACCGCCTTCTTGAAAAGTTCTTGATTTCTATGCGTGCCGAATTTTTTCAAAGCTTTGCATTCAGTTGTAAGCAGTGAGTCAAGCGTAAGTTTTAAATCTTTTTGTGGCTGACTTGAGAGCTATCAAATGCTGAGGAAATATTTTCTAATGCCTGATCAGCAATTATGTAGTCATGTCTTGTGTGGGGTCTCGAAATGGCGAGCAAGAGCACCACGCTCTTGGAGTGAACGGTAACAGCAGACGTGGTCGGTACAAACCAAACAACAACATACATTTATTTAACTAATTTTAGGACGACGATATCGTCCGCCGCATTATTATAACATCAATCGTGATCAACACGCTAAGACATCCTTACACAAAATTACCCAGCACGTAGCAACATAGCAAAAAAGGTGGTGTGGCCACGTCTTACTCACCGTGTGAGCTCCCGGCAGACAGCCCGCGGTGCCGTGCACCAGGGACACGTCGCGAGAGCAACCGTTCATGCAAAATGCCACCAGCTGAAAGAGACTCGCTCAACTCTCTTGCCCGCCACCAAGGCTTGCCTTCGATCAGGGGTCATCGCCGGCGCTACCGCTCTACCAACAATATTGATGATAGTGGTGATCACCGCTCGCGAACACAATGCCACCTACCGCTCGGTAGTTGTAAATCCGAAATGCGGCTTTTGAGCGAGACACATGCGCCATGCAGCGCAAGCAGCTTTACAAGAGGTGTCAGCACCCCCACACTTGATGACATCATAGTGCTGTTTTGCTGGTGTTAAGCTTGACAGTTGTTATCCCTGCTAGCAGGCAACCATTTCGTTCGAAATGAAAAAAGACTAGGTTTGAGAGATTAAATTATTACTTGAAGCCACTTCGCTTCTTCTTCTAGGTGTTTACTTCCATAACAAATACTCAATTTTATGTGTTTGTTTTTTTTCAATTGTCTTTGCAGTAAGGAGCCTCAGGACCAGCGAACAACAGCTGCTGTAGAGGCTTCCCCATCCTCTGCAGTTGAAGACATAAAGAATGAAGTCTCCGATCTCGAAGACATCGAGCTCCCACCCACTCCTCTTTTTGACGAACGGGAGGAAGAGGATGAAGGACCAGTATTATCTCCTCCTGAGGTTGAGCGTGATGATGAGGACATGATGGACAAAGCCGAGCTGGCTGCTGATGTTGCCCAAGAAGCACCAGTCGAAGAAGCCAAGAGCATCAGTCCCAAAGAACCACCACCTTGCAACTTGGAATACGAAGCGTCCGAAGCGCTCATGGCCCTCGCCTCCAGCTTTGCCCCTCCCGACAGTGCGGAGGCAGAAATGGCGAAGAAACCGGTGTCCCCGCCCCCAGTGAAAGTTGAGGAGGAAGGGCAGCCTCACCACCTTGTCAATGGCGATGCTGCAAAGGCAGCGCTGGTGAAGAACGATGTTGTCCAAGGAGTGGAGCAGATGGATGTGGAGGAGGATTCCACATCTACCTACCTCATTTCGGACCACTGCTACTGCCGGACCCAGCAAGCCGTCCAAGCAAAGGTGGAAGCAGCTCCTGTTAGCGACCACGTGTACGCTTCGGCACCTCTGCCGGTTCCTTCCGAACCTCCCCCAGCCCCAGTGGCCGTCACACCTCCTCCTATTGAACAGCGGTTATCACCGCCGCCCACGGCCACGCCATCACCACCACCGCCCGTGAAAACGAAACCGAGGAAAAAGAGGAAGACGAAAGACGAGTCTATCTGCGACCAGCTCATGTTCGACATGCCGCTCGAGCCGATTACCAAGCTCTCTCGGGAGGTGGCGTTTGCTCGACGTAATGTGGTGGAGGAGATGAACATCCTCTACGAGTTCCTCCGGACAGGAGTAGACCTGGAAGACGTTCAGTACCTCAAGCGCAGCTACGACGCCATGCTACAGGATGAAGTGCAAGGGTACTGGCTCAATGACACGCACTGGGTTGACCATCCGCATATCCTTTGCTGCAGAACGGCAAATCCGACTTTTATATTGGCAAGATTTTTATTTTCCTAACAGTGGTACTACCTTATTTACTCACGTAATGAGCCCACCTTTTTTTTCTTTTTTCAAAAAAGTTGACGCCAGTTTGGGAGAGTAGGTTCATTACGCATGAGGCAGGAGAAAAAAAAAGTCACGGTAAGTCGTAACAATAACAGTGAAAATTTTGCGTGACGGTATTGCTTGTTTTGGCCCGTGAAGTGCGCGAAGTATTTTTCTGGTAGCTCGAAGCTTTTCTTGTTTTCTCCTGTAATGAACACGCACAGATCGACGCCAAAGTGTCGTAAAGCATTCGGTTCCCATGCTCCAGTGCATGCTCAACCAACAACGTTTAAAACCATCCATGTAGTTAGCGTGCCAGCTGAATGCGCCCTACACAGCAGATTTTCAACAATTTCACTACAACCAAACTGACAACAAACGCGCAGCGTCGGATGGTGGTGCACAAATGTTGTGTGCAACGCGCCGGCAACGCGGTGGGCACAGTGGCGCTTTGCACGGCCTCTGAGAGGGTGAGCACGTGGCCTGTTTCTGCGCAACGCGTCCGCTTTCTCGAAGGCCATGTGCTTTGTTGTTTGCTCTGTTTTCATGCCGCTGTGCTTGTGTGGCGCTATAAGCAAAGAAGTTTCTTCGGCATTCCACAGATGGAACTCAGCTGCGAAAGGCGCGACTTTTAAATTTTGACTGACCTCATCCGCTTTTGCGCTGATCGCAACTGTTTAGCATGGTTGCGAAACTATATTTTGACTTTTGTGTTTTTATTTTGTGATATAATGACTTGATTTAACATTTCTTCTATCGTCAATGGCACTGGCTTTCACCCCGAAATAACACGAACAGATGCATTTAAAAATTTATTTTTTATTTTTTCAAGGACCAAGCTGGGGAATGGGTTCATTATGTGAGTAAATATGGTACTTGGTGAGAAGGAAAGGCAATGTATGCGTTTGAACACCATATCGTGTAACTGCAGCCTTGAAGGCTGCTAATCGAGGATTTGCTTAATCAATTGTGTTGTTATGGCCATCATCATTGGGCTCATACCTTATAAGATAAATAATTTCACTCTTGGATGTACACAACCTAGAATCGCTACAGCTACTACTGCAGCTACTACTGCTGCTGTACTCCTAAAGTAGAACTTATTCCAGCCAGATAATCTACTGCAGTCCATGATGTCATTATGCTAGCACTTCTGCCTCTGTCACTATACAATGTGATCTCTGTACATTAAGGGTGCTCTTATATTGAAGTTTAGAATTTGAATCATATATTACATAATCAAATAGTTTGATTAGACTTTCAAATATTTGAAGTTTTAAATAATTTGACAGGATGAATATTTGAAACACGATCAAGCCATGGGTGTAAATTATGAGTGGGTAGCTAAAACTAGCCCTAGTATTGTTACTGTAGGTTGCCTTTTAAAACTCCCCAATATCCTAGTTCGAAAACGAGCACATATTTATTTACAAGGGGATTATGACCTTTTTGCACAATGAAAAAGCACATGAGAACTGATGAGTCTTTCGCAACTTTCCTTTCTAAACGAAGGCGCAGACTTCTTGCGTAGTTAATTCTTGTATTCTTCAAGCGCCATAAAACATTTCGGTCTTTTCCTGGGAAATCCCCTGGTAATTAGCTTCGTGTGTGAAAATTTGTTCGCCCTGTGCAGTCGCCACTTCCGCAATGCACAACTTGCTCTGAAACTCACCATTCTGATGCGCTGTTAATATGGTGCTGGGAAAAAAAACTACCGTATTTGGGCCCAAAGCACTTATTGCAATGAAGCACAACATTACCGTTGTCAGGTGAGCCATATTGCAGGACCATAGGGGAAAAAACAAAAAGCTAGCTGCCATACCTCCCTCTGTTAGTAAATACGATACTTTTGGGTCTTCTAATGTTTTCAACTGCAGGAAATGCAGCAAACGCCATAACATCGCAGCGAGAGAGCGTGAAGCCAGTTCATGGAACAGCTTGTGTTTATGCACGACAATTTCAAGCCTTTCAGTGGCAGTCATTCACCGCTTTGTGTTCTCTAGGACATCAGCAGACTTCTTTCATTTGTTCTTAAATTTTCAATAAAAACTTGGGATATTCCATATTCGAATAGAAATTTTTGGCCACTATTCGGCACTATTTAAATGAAATTTGATACGAGATGAAGTTTTAGTACACTAAAGCCTTAATATAACAAACCCTGATATAGCGAATTATTGGTTAGAACGAAGTAAATGAAAAATACTCTTGCATTAGCTACAGTGTCAGGAATATAGACCAGAGCACGTCTATCTCGCACCAAGGTGCTAAGGCTGCCGGCACATACTCTCGTACCAAGACGCCCGAACTGTCAAAGCGTCTGTGTGTGGCACCAAGTTAACACAACGAGCAGCGTCTTTGGGGCCTTTAAAAAAACAAGAAAGGGCCTATTCATGCCACTATCTTCAAGCTGTCATCCGGCACTACTGCGCCGTCTTTGGATGCAAAAACAATCAGCGCAAGAGGAAGATATTATTCAGCGCTGTCTGTGAAATCGCAACACGATGCGGGAATCGTGCCAGTGCAGTGTTTTCTGATTGCACAGATTTCCATCCGCAGTGAAAAATGCCGAGGTCGGCCACCAGTGGATAATCGCAATCAGCAGGACAAACTGCCAGCCCCAGTAAAAGTGTACGAATAAGTATACTTATTGCGTTTATTCAAACGCGATGCCAGCCGTTCCACTACACAGCAGGGATTTGCGTGCAGTATACCTGTTGTATGCAGCACCAAATCATTGCCGTACTCTTTTGCAGGCCACATGCCAATAATAGGATATATTAGGACTCGCGTGTGGATGCATGCACAGCACACGCATAGTACCATTGTAACGGCTTACTATTGTGATGCAAAGAGACGTGAAGGGTGCTGAAAGCGTGGCTTTCGACTAAGTCGAAACTGTGACGTGTTTTGACTGTGACTAGGCGAATCTGTGTTTTCAGCCGGCGTCAACGTAGCATTTTAAAATCTTGTTCTGGCTGGCACTTCCGCAATGCGTGTGTGTTCTGAGTGCCCGGCATGACTGGCAAATATAAACACATGCGATGCATGAGGTCAAGTTGGAGGGAGATTCTAGTGCTACGTTGACACCGGCTTACAGCACAAGTTCCTCCTTGCCACAACCAATGCACGCTGCAGTCTTAAGGAGTCAATAGCAATGCTTTCCGCTGTTCATGTTTCTTTCAATCGTGATAGTACGATGGTACCTGATGAAGTTGCTTTCGCAGCCTGCCATGCACGTGCTGTAGACATTCTGGACTGTCGAGGAAGGTTTCTTCGACGTTTCACATGAAATCAGCTCAAAACTCCACGGAGAGGAAGAGCGTGAAACATGCTTACAGCTAGACTCTGGTTGTAAAGTTTCGCGTTTTTTTTTTTTTTTGCGGACCGTCTGCTCGTGTGGCAGTGCAGGGTGTTGGTTCGCCGCTCTTGCCACAGATGGCGCGACGCACTTTTCAGTATGGCAGTACCCGCTGAGCTTGCTGTGTTCTGGTGCATACATTTATAACGATTTTTCAGATATTACCAACTGATATTCATGTAAGATGCAACTTCGTTATAATGAGGGTAGAGTATTTGCACACCCCTACTGTACATGCTTTTCTGTGTGTTTTCAACTTCTTACTTTGGTTGGCACAGTGCCTCTGGGTTGTCTTAAGACACCTTCAACCACCCCTACTGTTCAAATAAGGTGCTCAATTTTTTTGCATCTGGGAGAACAATTTGCAGCGAGTGGGACGTAGGGCTTGTGATGTTTTTTATTGTTGTTCATCATAGAAGTGTTTACAAGGTAGGCTTGCTGCATATGCCCTTAACAAATCCGTGCACCGACCAACATACCAAACCCGACTAAGAAGAAAAAGAAGGACGAGGCCCGAGTGCACGTGACGGGCTGCGCCCGCAGCGAAGGCTACTACAAGATGGACGTCCGGGAGAAAGCACGCTTCAAGCAGTCTGGCAGCGCTGTGCCTCAGCTAGAGACACAGGTAATCATTTTCAAGCACTTGTGGTTGACTTGCGTTGATTGGAGTTCATCTAATTCAATTATCACTACGATTATTGCTATTGATGGCTACTCTGGTACTCGCTGCATAGTAATCATCACATGGGGTTGACAGCTGCAGTACAAGAAGCAAAGCCAGTGTAGTTTCACTATTCGGCCTATCGGGTCTTCTTGCTCTCAAGGAACAAAAGACACCGTACACGGCAGTGCACTGGACAAAAAGGGACATTTTTTAGCCTTCTATGTAGTAAGCTACATAGCTGACACTGACTTAAACATTAAAGAATAAAAGTCACAAGATCGAATCCCTATTTGGGAGCCAAATTTGATAGAAACAAAACTGCTGCATGCTGATGTACTTAGATTTAAGTGCATCTTGAAGAACCCCAGGAGGTCAGAAATTTCAGAGCCCTCCACTACATCATTCCTCAAGTAGCAAATTGGGCTGGTTGGAACATACTCGTCACGATCAGTGCACAAAAAGGACAAAAAAAAAAAAAAAGCGCAAGAAAGTGCACAACACAAGTGCTGTCTAACAACTGAAAGTTTAATGGAAGAACCATGTCCTATAATATGCAAACATGAACGCATAAAAAGAAAACCTTGACACCCCCCACCAAGCACAGGATCAAAGTATGCTGTAGATATCTAATTTCAGCAACTGTGAGAGCAATTGAAGGTTGGCTCACGCACCTGTCTCTGGATTTTATGATTTCATACGCTTCAGCAATTTCACGCCTGCGCTGGTCACTATGCTTGATTAACACAGTGGTTTTGTTAAAGTCAGCTGTGCAGCCGCAGCGCCGGCAATGGAGGGCAAGATGCAGTGGATGGTGTACCTTTCAGAGAGCTAGCGTGCTTCCTTAGACAGACGTTGTGGCAACGTCCCATCTGCCCAATGTACATGCAGGTGATTCCAGCCATTTTCTATGGCAGGTTATCAAATTGGAAGCGGCTGATTTTCTGCGCCTAGTTGTTGCCTGCACTTCACAGCGACTGCTCCAATCGCCTGAAAAGGGAACAAAAAGAGGGCCTTGACACTGTGAATGTGGCCTGGGATCAGTGAAAAAAGTTCGTCATTATCGCATACCTGCACGCCGTGTCTCACCGTTTTAAAACTGTGGCCAGTCACTATGAGATAAACACTTCCTGTCTTGCTGGCAAGAAGCTAGGAAGTGTGTGTGCGGGAGTTGACAAAAGAGGGCAGAAGGGGCAGGTCACTGTCAGCACTGAAGGTTGCTCTATAAAGCACTCTTAAGCCTTTCACTGACTGTGCGAGCGGAGTGGTGTACTCCACCTTTTTCTCATGCGGGTGCATGTACATTGGGCAGACTGGATGTTGCCTTAACGTCCGTGTAAGGGAGCATGCTAGCGCTCTGAAAGGTACACCATTCACGCATCTTGCTCTCCATTGCCGGTAGTGCGGCTGCGCAGCTGAGTTTAACAAAATCACTGTGTCGATGAGGCATAGAGACCATGCGCAGGCGTGAAATTGCTGAAGCGTGTGAAATCATAAAAGCATAAAAACACTTTAGTTGTGTTTTTTTGTCCTTTTTGTGGGCTGATCATGATGAGCAGTTTCTCATAATCATATTGTGGTTTATGGACCTGCTATCCCTAATAATTATTATCAATTTAACAATCAATATATTCATGTCAATGAAATATGTTTTGGGAATGAGAAAGTTTAACTAACCTTGGCAGCGAATTGGTAATGCTCGCGCCTGTCAAAAACAAATGGAATGCTATTCTGGCAGAAATTCTCAGTGGTGAGGAACTGTAACTGAGGGAAAGTTTTTGTGCTTTTATTTGGAAAACGTGCTCTTATTTCGGGGACTGTCACACATGTTGTCTTCTTGTTCTAGAAAATAAATTTTTGTGATGAGTTAGGAGTAACTCCAACAACATTTTTGTTGCTCTTTTTCATCTCTTCTGGTGATTTACCTTATTCAACATTTGTGAATACATTCAACTTACCGTAGAACTAGAGTGATGAACGAGTTTTGCTGAACGAGTTTTGCTGAACGAGTTTTGATGAACGAGTTTTGCTTGATGAACGAGTTTTGCGTGCTTTGTGATGCAGGACCCCACCAGCAAAGCTCGACTTGCCGCCCAGTCAAGCAGAGAAGCACGGTCAAACCAGAGGAGGTTACTAACCTCATTTGGGGAAGCCGAAGTGATTAGCGACTTGCTCAAGTTCAATCAGCTGAAGGTGAGTGAAACAGCCTCAAGCGTTATGTACGACACACAAAGAGACCCTGTCTACTCGCCCTATGTTGGCATAGTTCAGACATCGTAGTTTTTCATCTCTTCTTTATTGTATTCCTACTGTAATGAAATGGTACCTTGGTCAGTGGATATTGATGAATGAAGAAGTGTATTTAAATTTTACATAGTTAAAAACTGGCCATATATAGTGAGCATATTGTGACTGTTGTGGTGTCTCGAAATGGCGAGCGAGCGCCACGCCCGCTTTTGGAGTGAAAGGACACAGTAGACACAGTTGGAAAAAACCAAACGATTCGCACATTTATTGGAAACTAATTTAGAACGACGATATCGTCAGCCAAATAATGATAACACCAATCGTGATCAGCACGCTAAGACATCCTTCCACAATGTTAAACAACATGACAAACAAGGCGGTGCCACCAACACCTGACTCACCACGTGGGCCCACCGCAGACGGCCCGCGGTGCCGTCCACAGCAGACCCACCTCGAGAGACAACCGCCCCACGCCAAAAGAGACTCGCTCAACTTTCTCGCCTGCCATGAAGGCTTGCCTTCTGCCAGGGGTCACTGCCGGCGCTACCGCTCTACCAACCATGATGATGATAGCAGTGATCACCGCTTGCAAACACAGCGCCACCTATCGCTCAATAGTTGCCACCCCTGAAATAAAGCTTCTGTGTGAGATACGTGTGCCACGCGGCGTAAACAACTCCAGAGAGGGTGTCGGCACCCCCATATCCCCCAACCTTAATTCAAACCATATCGCGAAAAGAAAAAAAAAAATGCGCTACACAAGCTCTAACAAAACATGACAACCCATGTCTCTACATAATGTCTGTGCACCATGACACGCCTCACTCGTGCCGACACGCCTCCCGGTTGCGACGAGCACTCACGAGGGTGCCAGACCGCAGGCGGTTGCGTAGGTCCCAGGCTTGTCCACTGCCTGATCTCACGACCACATTCCTGGCCAGCAGCGCTGATGATGCGCAGAAGACAGCGAGCCGCGGGTTGCAACACTCCCGCTGCGTACATTACAAAGCACTCGAAAGAACAATGCAGTAGGTCAAAGGGAAGGGCGCTTCGGGCTCCTCGCCCACATGGTATGATGGTCAGTACTGCTGGCTAATACATTGGCGGCGGCCGAGACGCCCAGCTCAAAAATAAAAACAAAGGTCACTTTTTCCTAACTCGTGCATCGCATGATAAAAAGTGAGGGAAGCAGAGTGCAACACCTCGACGCCACGATCCACCTAGTTGTGCGTGCGACAGGCGGCTGCGCAGAGCCTTTGGCGTAATGAGTCTCTCAACAACAACTGGCATACACCCAGCACCCAGCCTAGGTGCAGAAGAGGCAGCCGCAAGGAGACATCCACTCTGTAAGGTGGCCCTATCGCTCGTCGCACACAGCAGCTTACTGAGCGATCGGCGTCCACCGTCCCAGACGGCGTCACGACGCCCCGGCGTCGAGCCGCAATACCAGACAGCAACGACGCCCGACTCCCTGAGTCCAAAGAGATAGAAGAAGCTGTTTACAGAGAATCGGACCACCCACAAGGCTTCCGTACTCACTCGCTTCAGGCTTGGCCTACAATGCACGTGCTCTAAGCCTTGCTCACCCCATGATGCAGACCACATGGCTCTCGTACTCAACTAAACAACGTTCTTGAAAAAAACCAAGCACAACAACAACAAAAGCACTTGCGAGCAGAAAAAAATAAAAACTGGAGTGCTGACAAGTTCAAACACGTCACAAATACCGATCTCGTCACTCTCAACAAAGCACACCACTGACGCTAGCAAAGAAGTTCCCCTAGGCCTACTCTACCTCAGCTCTAACAAAAGCTTGTACAGAACCACAAAAACTGTCGTTCGATGCACCAAGAGCCCCACAGTTGGATGCCAGTGTGGGATCTTGAAATGGCGAGCGAGCGCCACGCCCTGCTCTTGGAGTGAAAGGACACAGTAGACACGGTCGGAACGAACTAAACGATACACACATGACATTTATGTAACTAACTTAGAACGATGATATCCCCAGCCATAATTATTATAACATCAATTATGATCAACCTGCTAAAACATCCTTACACAATATTAAACAGCACGACAAACAAGGCGGTGTCGCTAATGCCTGAGTCACCACGTGGGCCCATTGCAGACAGTCCACGGTGCCGTTCTTGACAGACCCATCGCGAGAGACAACCGTCCGTGCCACCGCCTCACGCCAAAAGAGACTCGCTCAACTCTCTCGCCCGCCACCAAGGCTTGCCTTCCTCCAGGGGTCACCGCTGGCGCTACCGCTCTACCAACCAAGATGATGATAGCAGTGATCACCGCTCGCAAACACAACGCCACCTATCGCTCAATAGTTGTCATACCCGAAATACGGCTTCCGTGCGAGACACGTGCGCCACGCGGCACAAACAACTCTACAGAGAGTGCCAGCACCCCCACACTGTTTCAAGAAAACTATAATCATACCATACTTACCCGAGTGCAAGTTGACCTCCCTAAATTGCAGGTCGGGGAAAAAAAAAGCCAAGAGTGGACCCTTATCTCTCAATTATGGGTGGCTCTCTAACAAATCCCCATAGAGGCACTGTTATTTATTAGGCGTGCCACTGCTGATTGGAATAAGTGGTGCTTCCATCAACGATAGACACCTAATAGGAAATAGCATGCATGGCTCTGATGGAAGTGTCGATTGTTGATAGAAGAGCCATTTCTACAAACAGCAGTGGCACTGCTGATGGTCAACAACGGTGCCATAAAAGTTAAAAAAAAAAATTCCATTTAAACAAGTGCGCAGAATAATCGTATTTTTCTACATATAACCAACTCAAAAAGTACAGGAAATCCAGAGCTTAAGTGAAAACAAAACAAAAAACCCGATTTTGGTCGTGCAAAGGTGGCTTTTTGACAGTACAGCTACACACGGAAGCTAGCTTCACGGCTATACAAAAGATCACATTTAGAAAGTTTTTACGAATCGTTGTTGTGGGTACACATTATAAACGAGAAAATTGAGTATATGATAGAGATAGAGCCAGAACGCTCTATCTGTAACATAAATCTCAGTCAATAAATGTCGTGACTATGCCACAGCTTTTCCGATTTCTCGTTTGTTCTAATATAACTGGCAATACAGTGAAAGATTGATAATTTGAACTCTATGGGGACTGTGAAATTGTTTAGTTGAAGCTGAGTTTGAATTAGTGGTTGAATCAAGCGCTGAATTCCTTTTCGAATTGACGGCTGTGGATACCTCATTAAGAACCTCTTTAAGAAACAAAAAGCATGAAAGCCTCAAACACAACAGATTATATAGAACTGGCAGAGCTTTCGAAGTTGATTAATAAGCATAGAATAATAAGCATAAGGTATCTGATGTAAGATGGTATAACATGGAGAGAATTGAATGTGCTTTAAAGAATGGAGGAAGCGTCAAAGTGGTGAAGAAGAAACTTGGGATAGGCAAAAACCAAATGTACGCAGTAAGAAACAAGGAAGGCAAAGTAACTACTGCTATGGAGAGGATAGTTAAAGTAGCAGAGGAGTTTTACAGAGATATGTACAGTAGCTGCGATGAGCATGACCATAATGTAACTAGTAGCAGTAACACAGATGACATCCTAGCAGTAATGACAGACAAAGTAAAGAAAGCCTTGGAGGGAATGAAAAGAGGCAAAGCTGCTTGTGAAGACCAGTTGAATCTGCTGAAAGACAGAGATCAAATCGTGTTAGAAAAACTAGCCATCATCTTTACGAAGTGTCTCCTGACGGGGAGGGTACCAAAATCTTGGAAGAATGCTAGCATCGTCTTAATTCATATGAAAGGGGACGACAAGGACTTGAATTACAGGCCAATCAGATTGCTCTCTGTCGTATATAAGGTGTTTACAAAGGTAGAATCCAATCAACCAAGCGAACAAACGTGATTTCGAACAGGCTACTCAACAATCGACCACATTCATACTATCAATCAGGTGATAGAAAAATGCTCAGAATACACCCAATCACTATACATGGCCTTCATAGATTACGAGAAGGCATTTGACTCAGTAGAAGTATCAGCAGTCATGCAGATATTGCGGAATAAGGGCAATAATGAAACATATGTAAAAATCCTGGAAAAAATGTACAGAAGATCCACTGCCACCATATGACTCCATAAAGAAAGCGACAGAATACCAATAAAGAATGGTGTAACACAAGAGGATACACACTTCCCATGGCTATTTACCGCATGCTTACAGGATGTTTTCAGATGCCTAGAATGGGAAGAGTTAGGCATAGGAGTTAATAGAAAATACCTTACCAAACTTCCTTTCGCCAAATGCATTACATTGCTGAGAAGTTCAAGGGACGAATTGCAGTTCATGATTACTGAATTAGACATGGAGAAGATAGGTCTTAAAATTAATCTGAAGATAACAAAAGTAATGTACGACAACCTCTGAAGAGAACAGCACTTCGAGATAGGTGGCAGCGCACTTGAAGTTGTAAAGGAAAACGTCTACTTAGGACAGGTTGTACCTGTGGAGCCGAACTGCAAATTTGAAGTAACAAGAAGAATAAAGATGGGGTGGAGCACATTCAGCTAGCATTAACAGATCATGACTGTAAGATTGCTGCTATCCATCAAAAGGAAGGTTAATAGCAGCTGCGTCTTGCCAGTACTTACTTACAGAGCAGAAACCTCGAGGCTTACAAAGAGGGTTCAGCTCAAATTGAGGACGGCGCAGTGAGCGATGGAAAGGAAAATGATAGGTGTAACCCTAAAGGACAAGAAGAGAGCAGTGTCGGTCAGGGAACAAATGGGCTTAAGTATAGCATAGTTGAAAGCAAGAAGAAATGGTCATGGGCAGGGCACATAGCGCGAAAGCAAAATAACCACAGAATGGATTCTAAGAGACGCCAGCATGTGGAGGGGACACAGAAAGTTGGGCGGGCAGATGAGATTAGGAAGTTTGCGGGGTATAAAACTACAGCAGTAAGCACAAGGCCGAGTTGACTAGTGGAACATGGAAGAGGCCTTTGTCCTGAAGTGGGGGTAGTCGGGCTGATGATGATATTTCTAGCGACATAAAAAAAAAATATGTATGCCTGTTTTCTTTTTTTTCTGCCACCCTTACGAATCCCTTGAATTTCAAGGTCGCCAGCTTAGTAGATCTACATTTGAATTTGCAGAGTTCAATGCGACAAATGTTAATGTGGACGTTATCATTATTTGCTCAGTGAGGTGAATAAAAATAATAATTTTACTGAAATAGCAGTGGTCTTACTCATACTGCATAATATACTGCATGTTGAATGGTTTGTACATATTCTTTTTCTAAATGTTCTAAATGTACATATTCTTTTTCTAAATACTACTCTGAATTGGGTCTTTCGTCATAAAGAAATGTTTTGCTCCCCGTAAACTGCTCCAAATTTGGATTTTTGTGCTCCAAAAGTAACATTTTGCTGCTGAAAAATCTCTCCAATTTCTGACCCTCTCCGACATCGAATGAGTAAAGCTAGTGTTGACTCTGTCACAGAAGGCTTGTGGGGCGCAGGCAGTACCTTGACTAACACCCGACAGGGGTTATTGCTTGTCACCCCCTCTTGCTCTTTTGTCGGGCTGCTCGCGGTGTGGTTCTGGCTGATGTTGACAGGAATGCTTTTATTTTTACTGAAAGGGTATGCTCATGACAGTCTAGCCAATGCTCATCTAGCTCAACTCAATCTGAAGCACACATATCATTCCATTTTTTACATTGTGTAGGGCTCCGATTCGAAAAAAAAAAAAAAGTGCTTTGAACATTGCGAAAACTTGTGACCTTAGCCCCCTCGCCCTCCTGTAGGGAACTAGGTTCTTGTGATGCTAGGCGGGTGCTTTGAAGTGATGCCGAAATTGGTCACAATCAATTATGCTAGCACTAATAATGTGGTACATCTGAGCAATTAATTATAATTCCAGGACTCAGGCACAAAGCTAAGGTTACTCAATTAACTGAGATTCAGTGACAGATTTTACCAGGTTTTGAAGTGAAATGCACAGGCAAACCATAATGCACAGGTAATATGAAAACAAAACACCCTAGTGTCTGTGCTAGATAAAAATATTTGCAGTTGTACTTGTGCTTTACCTAATGACCTCGCTTGTTTGCCATCTTTAATCCTTGCAGTTCCGCAAGAAACAACTCAAATTTGCGAAGAGTCGCATTCACGACTGGGGACTGTTTGCTCTGGAGCCGATTGCGGCCGACGAGATGGTCATCGAGTATGTGGGCCAGATGGTGCGGCCCATCATGGCTGACCGGCGGGAGCAGTTCTACACGCAGATCGGCATCGGGAGCTCGTACCTCTTCAGAGTAGATGTTGAAACCATCATTGATGCCACCAAATGTGGCAATCTGGCCCGGTTCATCAATCACAGCTGCAATGTGAGTACTAAAGGATGCGTCCCATCATATTTGTCAAAAGAATCATGTGCAGTAATACTTGCGCATTCAAACGTGCCGTCGAATTTTTCATAAAATCACTGGTATGCTCAGTTGCTCAAGATAACCACGTCATGTCGCAGTGAATCTGGTCTCTGAAGATGTAGGTGGCTCTGATTTACTTGTTTGAGTAGGCATTACGCCAATACGACCTGGGGCAAAGACTGTAGAAACAAAAGTATCTGCATTACGTCGCCCTAAATACAGTCGAACCCCTTTATAAGAGACACTGATATAAGAGACAAATGGTTATCAGAGACACCAGTGTGCCTTCATTAAAATGCGGTTTGATAAGGAAATGCCTACATGGTGCCCTGCTTATGATAGAGGTCTCACAGTTGTGGGAAACCTGTGCCAATTGTGCCAACCTGTGCCAACTGGAAATCACTGCGCCATACTGCTCCAAAAGGGTCTTTTTGTGTCCGATTTGCACCATAGTTGCGCCCACAAAGTGGTTTTAGAACCAAAAGTAATGTTGACAGTACGTACATGGAATGTATTACGTGATGGTCGCCATCTTGTGCAGTTGTGTTGCTGCATTTGCGTGCGATCGCGTAGCTGCAAAATCACGGAATCGGTCAATCAATTCTTCCCACTTCTGCACCATTGCAGCGGTGCCTTTTCTGGTAATCAATAGCAAAGAACGAAGGGGATGTGGTGGCCACTGAAAGGCACACTAGTATGACATCTCCGATAAAAACCCTACGTGCCGCTTTAAGCCTACTGCATGCTTTTAATAGCTGGTGACTACCTGCAAGCAGGGGCGCCGATTGCTGCCACGTAGACCGTTGTATGGGACCGTGTTTAGCTTGCACCGCTTTGCAGAAACGAAAGTTGCTGAGTTGAGCATTGTGGATTGCTGGCGCTGATACAGCGCGCTTTCATAGGGTGTCAACCCAAATGCACTTCAGTCGCCAAGACCGCCAGCTCTAGGACCGCTAGAGCATGGCTTGCAGAAAGCTCGCATCATCGCATTAACGTAATAGCTTTCTCGCCGCATCTGTGCGCGGTCTGAAGCGGAGTGGGTGTAAGCGGCTTGCCATGCTGTGTATGCCGAATAGGCGAAGCGCTACACGCAACTAGCTGGTAGATGATCAGCTCTCTGCTACCGTACCGCACCCAAAAAAAGCTGCGTCTGTTCTCGCTATGCAGCAGACTGTGGCACACATTCATCGCGAACAGCCGCTTATGTCTGTTTCATCGCTATGCAAGTCTTTGCGTCGGCTGCATATCCCGGACTCCGCAGTACTTTCGAAATTTTCCTTGCTGTTGCCACCGCGTGCCATCAGACGACCGTGCGAGAGTGCCAGTCTTTCTAAAATTTGGCAAACAGAAAGAAATAGCTTTGTGGTGGGCACGTTAGGCAATATGTGCTATGGCACTGTATTAGTTTATTCCTTCTTTAGTGGCGATGGTGCACGTAAAGAGATGCAAATTGGTACTTGGTGGTTAATGCATACTGCATTTAGTGTGTAGTTAGCCGCATGCTTGGCCATGTAAGTAGTATTAACGAGGTTTTACTGTAAAAAGCTTCGAATGTGTTTGTGGGGAGGGAGATTAATCAGCATGCTCAAGGTTCCCCTTCAGGGGAAGGGGGTGGAGGTTCTTCACAGAGCCCCCCTCCCTATCATGTCAATGTACAGGGCTGGCTTTGCACTCCCCTCTCCTCACCTCCCTTTGGGCACGCCCATGTGAGTGTGCGCCCGCGCCGGTAGAACTTTATGCTACAGGTAGCCTAATTGTTGGTGCAATATCTTTCACTGTTTAACGACACCGCTTCTGTATATGATCCTGCTTTTGTTTATATTTTGTGCTTCTTCTTTGGGCTTGCTGCTTCTGTATAAATGATTATGTAAACTGAGGGAACATTAAACTAAATTGAGGCTAAATTTTGTTTATCTGTGTGCGTCATGGAAAGCCCGAGCGTGCTCCAAACACAGAGGTAGCTGCTCCAAAAGCAGAATTTGCCTGCTCCAATGGCTCCTCTGAAATGCTGGAAGGCATTCCCGCGACTGCATCCCATATAAAAGACAAGAATAGCTGCCCGGAGCATGCTTCATATAAATGGGTTCAACTGTAGTCCTGTTTTGATCTGTGAGCACTGTAAGTGGCACAGTATACGTCTTTGGTAAGCTTTACGTGACCCAAAGTACCGTATTTACTCGATTCTACCGCGCCCTCGATTGTAACGCGCACCCGATTTCCACCGCGAAAGAAAAAAAAAACGTAAGACATCGATTGCAACGCGCACCCATTTTTTCTCGTTGGCCCGCACGATCACACCACTCGAAAAAACGACTCCTTTCGGGAGCGTCTTCCATTTAAATATGAGGTATGGGCGAAGCTTGTGCCCATCTGACGTGCAGCAGAGCATTGCCGTCACTGTATTTTTACCGTGCACCGATGTCAGCACGCGAACTTGCTTCGCCCCCTTCTTCTCGACGGTTGTGGTGCTAGGCATGTCGAAGTAAAGAGGCGTCTGATCGGCATTCCCGATTTGCCCAAGCAGGTAGCCGTTGTTGCGCCGCAAGTTTAGGACGAACCTCTGAAAACTGTGAAGCTTTTCATCGTACTCCTCCACAAAACTTTTCGCATATGCATGTTCCCTTTTGGAGGGAAAAGCCTTTCCTCTTCATAAAGTTAGTTAGTCAGCACCTGCTCGCTTTAAACTGGCTTCGCATTAGACCGTTTTCTAAGACTAATTGCATAGCCCGCACTTGGAGCAGTTCTGTCGTCACGGGCCGCTGTGCCGCTCGCTGCTCAAGCACATACTCGCCGAGCAGCTCTTCGATTTGCAGAAACCGACCCTGCTGTGGTCCACTGAAGCCTTTGCGTGAAGCTTTGCTGTCGACAATCTTCTGCTTTTGTTTCCGCCGGTCCCGCACGCACGTTTCGGGAACTCCGAACGACCGCGATGCGGCCCGATTTCCATTCATTTCTGCACATGCGATGACTTTTCTTTTAAAAGCGGCATCGTGGTGCACTCGAGTTTTTGGAGTCGGCCCTTCCACGCCATTGATGCTAATGCACTACTAGACGACGAACTTCTCAGCACACGTACGAAGTGCCGCACATGGGAAACACATAGGCAGAAATGGCCGACGCGCCATGCCGACGCACGTAGGGGGCGGCCATTTTGTATTTGCCGATGGCAATAGATTGACCGTATTTTTTTTTGTTCGTACTAGATTCTAACGCGCATGCGATTTATGAACTCGCTTAACCGGAAAAAAGGTGCGCGTTAGATTCGAGTAATTACGGTAATACATTGTGCGTGCAAGATAACTGTTTGACCGGGAACACTTAATGGCAGAGAACTGAGTAATACTTGTCATGTTATATGGAATTATTGCTATTGAAAAATCAAAGAAAATTGACATGTATGCACTCTACCGATTATCTAGGATTTATAGGAGTTTAGACTGGTGACATTGAACTTATCAATGAAGTAGGCATGTCAAAAATATTGTGCGAAACTAAACCAATACAGATAGTCCCACAGTGTATGAAGTTGTCAAACATGGCAGAGATGTAGCCTAAATTTTGGCAACAGTAGGTGTATGTGCCTGAACTGAACATGCAGCCAGAGTAATCAAGAGGCCGGAAGAGAAAACTTGTCTCCTCATTTTATTTGTAAACAAACAAACAAACAAGGTGTGCAGACATTGATAAATCATCAAGCATGCAGTCATAGCTGATGTCATATCATTATGAAAGCTACAGGAGTCACAGGATTAGATATCGATTGCACTCATAGAATGAAGGAATGAATTAAGAGTGCCTGAAGAGTTCTCTGAGCTAGAGTGTGGCATTCTGAAAGAACCATACAAACATGTTTAGAGCAGTAGATCTTGACCACCTGGATGTGATGTACTTAGAACGCTCTGGGGTGCTTAAAAATGACCGGCCAGATGTGGCGGTGAATTGTAATAATTTTAAGCAGCGCTACTACACTTTACAGTTGTAGTCACTTGCTCTGCCTGGGACCCCTTTACTGTGTAGTACCTCGAAAACCAAGCCTCTTCTCTACTTGAATGTTTGTCATCGTAGTTGAGTGTAGTGCCAAATAATGCATGCCGTAGAAGCAAATCGTTTTTTTTTTTTTCGTTGTACTTGCAAGTGTGAGATCGCGCTTCTTTTTCTGTTTTCGTGCAGCCAAACTGTTACGCCAAAGTAATTACAGTGGAAGGGCAGAAGAAGATCGTCATTTACTCAAAGCAGCCCATCAACGTCAATGAGGAGATCACCTATGACTACAAGTTCCCTCTGGAGGACGAAAAAATTGTGTGTCTGTGTGGAGCGCCCCAGTGCAGGGGTTTCTTGAACTGAAGTCTCATCGGTGGTACATTCATCATGTACAGTGTACAGCTTGCATCTCATCATTCTGATCGTCATCTTCATCATCGCATTGGTTGTGTTGGGAAGGAGGCCTGTTGTGGAACAGTGCTTGAATCGTGTTCCCGAAACTTATTGAAACATTTCATCGTGTTGGCATTGTATAGACCCCCTGAGCCGCCCAGAAAAACACGCGCATGCACAAATCATAATGTACATAAGAGAAAAGTCATATTGCAATGCATTAACTTCTGTCTTGTTGTCTTTTTTCCCTTTTCTGTTACTCTTTGTACATTCGTTAAACTCTGCACTTGTAATAAAAGAAAAAGCTGCACGTTGTACAACTGCTGCCGAAACGTTTTTTGTTAGAACAATCCTGGCATTCAGCAGATAACAGCTTCCGGTAGCATTGCTTGTGCAATGTTTAACGAGGACTAACTGACAATACTGCCAAGGAAAGTGTAGGCGATGTTATTAGAAGTAATCGTAGGGAGAATATGAAAAAAGAGAAGTGGACGAAAGATACCTTGCTACTGGCAGGATCAGAACGAAAGTCACAGGTTCTGATCCTGCCGGTGGCAAGCTATCTTCAACAAATAACCAGGTGCATTAACAAATGATGTGCTGAGGCTTCATTTAAGGTTGTTCCTCTTCTAACTAATGCCTCCATACCTAACTTAAATTAGCCCCACTTGCCAAATGTAGTGATAGAACTGTCTATGCAAGCACGAAAGGATGTGAAATGGTTTTCAATGTTCAAGCCTCGAGGCCGAAGTTAGCAAGTGCTTGACACACGTAATGCTTAATTTTTTATTAAAGGTCACAAAACTAAATTAACTTAAGTAGGCATCATCTGTAGCGAATCAAGGTCTGTTTAAGTCCAGAGGAGTTCTGAGGCGTCAGTTGTGGGAATGCAGGGAATACAAAGATACACTTGGACCGTCTGTTTTTTTCCCCACCTGTAGGGATCGCATGCTTTGGCTGCCGTAAATAGTGGCTGCAATTAGTGTTGCGTAAGCAAACTTCACAATTGTGGTCTCTAAAATGGTAGATTTTCTTATCCTCAAGCACCCACATAACCTGGCTGCTTGTGAGGTGGCACTGATGGCAATGGATGGATGAATGCTGTGAGCGTCCCCTTCATAATGAAGTGGTGCAGTATGTGCCATTAGGCTTGACAAAAAGAAAAAGTTATGCTTGCCTATTGCTATTTCTACTAATTACTAAAATAATATAAAAATAAAAGAAAACTGACAACAATAAATCGACAGTGCAGTTCCGTGCCCCTTGTGGCAATATGCCCTTATTTTCCCCACCATTTAATTTTGCCCCTATTCACTAGTTTTTTTTTCTTCCTTTTAAGTACGAAGCATTTCAAGGGGCCAGCTTGTCCATCCATAGATTTCTTGAGGCGTGAATCTAGTAAAGCACTCACTACAGGCCATAGTTAACGGAGCATAGCTCAAACCCTGGTGAAGTAAACAAGGTCTAAAAGAACATAACAGAAATAGCCAAGAAGTAATCGCGTTAACTTTGAATCTCTAAAATGTGTTACAAACACGGGACTGACACGAGCCTGCAGCGAGCAAGGGTGCCAGTCCTTGCCGAGCGAGAGATTCCTGCTTCCTCAGGGTCAGCACGTCAGTGGTGTAAATCTTTAGGGGGGGGGGGGCACCCCTTGCAAGGGACCCCCTATGAAATTTATATTTCAAACATCCTACATCTGAAAGGTTTGACAGTTAGGTATAGCGCATTTAGCATTTTTAGTCCCTTTTATTTTAGCTTGTATGGGTGTTCATTATTCTCACAGCTGTGTGATATTACTGTAATTGCAAGTGCCACTCAATCGGTTTCAGAGAAGAAAATCCAATTACGTGAGTTGAGAAACGATGTTCATTTTCGAATTTGACTTCAAGGGATGATATTTAATTTTCAGGAGTACAACAGGAATTTATAAAAACAAAATGGCCACCATGGCCGAAATGTGTCCCCCCCTTTGTGATTGGTTTTGATTTACGCCACTGGTTGCTACGTGACTACATCTGAAGGGAAAACAACCTGAAAGAAGTCAATGAAGCTCAGCAAAGAAAAAGTAGCCCACATGTTGCGCCGTGTGCGTGAATCTGCGCGAGTCTGTGTAGCAAGATTCCAGTCGTGCATGGGAAACCCTACACGCTTACATCAAACATTGGCGTCACTGACGTTTCATGAACCGAGCAGTGCGAATACTATGAAGGGGAATCATTGGGCACCAGTGCCATGCACTTGCCTGCTTGGCCTTTGTGATTTGTCTCTTACCCACTTTGAGGGATTGACCGTGAAACCGGTGGTTAAAGATTAGGCTTGAGATTAAGGGGAAAAAAAGCCATCTGTTTACTGGGAAATATAGAAAAAACTTCAGCTGAATATTTTATGTACTGATGTAATGATAAAACAATACTGGTATGTAGTCAGCTAATCAGAGAAAAGCTCAAGTGCAAAATTTAGAATGAAAATCAATTAGTTCAAAATAACTGTTTTTTTTTCCTTTCTCACACCGCGCGAGCACAGCGTCACTTCTCTAGGTCGCAAAGCCAACATCGGTAGTTATGACACACGTGTGCAATGAGGTGAAAACTTCACTGCAGACGGTGATAGCACCCCGAAAGATGAACCACCCAAATCTTGAGGGTAGATTCAGTCTATATGCGAGTAGACCAAGTCTGTTTGAGCAGTTGACTCCATTCTTGGATCAGGTATAGTCGATTTCGGAGTGGGTGATCAAGATTTTATGGGTAAGCCAAGCGCATCTTAGTAGTGGGCCAGGCCGGTGGTTACCGGACTAGACAAATCTGGTCTGGAGACTGCCCACTCAAATATTTGAGGTGGGCCAAGCCTGTTTGGGGTACACCAAGGCAGTTGTCGACATGTGTCGACCACATTCTTGAATTGGGCAATGCCAACTTCAGGGAATAGCAAACGAAATATGGTGGCTGAGTCAAGTCCATTTCGAGAGTAGAAAGTCTGGTTCGGATGGGACAACTCGATCGGTTTTACAAATGGCTGAAGTCCGGTCTGAAAATGGGCCACCCCAAATCTTGGCGGAGGACTAAGTCCCTATGGGAGCCGACTAATTTAGTTATAAGCATGTGTTGACCATATCCTCGTATGAGGCAATGTCCATTTCAGGATTGAACCACCAAAATATTGTGGTGGGCCAAGTTAATTTGGGGTGTGTGCAGGGGTGTAGCCAGAAATTTTTTTTGGGGGGGCACCCCCTTGAAATGACCATATTTTGCTCTCTATGCCATGGCGAAAAAAATTGGGGGGGGGGGGGGGGGGGCACGTGCCCGGTGTGCCACGCCCTGGCTACGCCCCTGGGTGTGGGTCTGGTTGGCTTTGGGCGTGGACAAATGAATTCTCTAATCAGGTGAAGTAAGTTGGACGTGTCCGCCTAGTCTTGGAGGTAGGCCACCTCCACTTGGGAGTGAACTAGCTTTTATTTATATATATATTCTTAGCATACATGCCAAAAGGAGTCGACACGTGTCGACCTTGTTCTAGAATCGGGCAATGCTTTGGAGATAAGCAACCAAAGTTTCGTGTGTGAGCCACGTCCATTTTGTGAGTGCGGGAGGTCGGTTCTAGAGTGGGACAACTCAGTTCTCGAATTTCGTTAAGGAAGTTCTGTGACGTGTCACCCAAATTTTGGAGGTGCACCAAGCTTTTTTTTTTAAATGGACCAAGCTGGGTTTGGACGTGGGACAACTGAGTACTCGGATTAGGTGAGTTCAATTTCGTAGACGTGTCACCTGAATCTTGTGGGCGGGCAGGTCTATTATGGAGTGGATTGATTTGGTTTCGTGCATATGTCAACATTATTCTCAAATCGGGCAATATATATATATATATATATATATATATATATATATATATATATATATATATATATATATATATATATATATATATATATATATATATATGGAGAGAGAGATGGGGGAAGAGCAACAAATATGAAAACCCCACCTATATGCTATAAATTATCAATTGTTAGAGCCCGTCCTCGCGTTTGCTTTGCCCGTCTGCTCCGTTCCCTAAGACTTGTACCGACTATGGCCCATCCTTAGCCTCTTGCTCTGTACGCGCGTTTCCATTCAAATTATGCAGTGCCCTTGTCAAATGGTGCATTGCTTGTTGCGTCCTCATGTCAATTCACTCCCACTCTGATTTCAGCTCAATGCGTGTTTCTTCGTCCCCGAAATTTCAGATTGGGTGACAATTTTGATACGCTGGGTAGAAGTACAATTGAAGTTTTGCACTAAACATGTATGAGCGGAGGAAAGCAGAGGTGCATTGCACACAAAACAAGTTTTCCATATATATGCATGGGTAAACAGCATGCAGCATTGCATTGTCATGCAAGCTTTCACACTCGCATATCCTCGCCAACGCAGTTTCCACGTCGCACTAGTACACAGTCATTTCAGTCTGGCATAGGTTTTAGGGGCGAAGCACGTGAGGACCCCGCAAAGTCCGTCCGCATACCACCCTCGCCTGCAGAACATGTAGCGCAGGTGCATGTGAACAAAGCGGAACATCCGTGAATAACAAAAAAGAAAGGTTAACAAAAGGCTGTTAACGATAATAAACAAAATAAAAAACACCTTACAAACGCTGACATATAACCACCGATCATTCAAAGCACATGACAGAACAAAAGGTTCACAATAAAATGCTCTTAACCAGGACAAAATGGAAGACCACGAAACCATAAAAGCGGCAACGCAGTGGCGTAGCGAGACAGTGCAGTCGGTGTTCCCGTGGAGCAAACCATTGTGAATATCCTGTTTAATGAATGAAAGCTCCGCATTTATGGAGGATGCGGAATAAACAATGCGTTCTGGTGCTTTCTGTCTCCGTGTCGGCACCCCATTAGCCATCGCTACTGCCGACAGCGCCACCACATACTCCCAGCCATGCTACAGTGTACAAGAAGGGGGCAGTGTAGTGAACAAGCTGGCCGCGCCGTATCTCTGCTGATTCTCCGGCGGGTGACTATAGCAGCGGCGCTGTAGTCTCGTGGTACTGAAGATCTCAAGAGCGTCTGCATTGGGAGCACGCGTGTCGTAGCCTGCGAAAGCGTGCATTTGCTCGTTTTTAGTGCGTTTAATGTGTTTCTGAGCATTTATCAGAGTATGCACACCTGCTAAGCGCCATGGTGCACTAGTGAATATGCAAGCGCACCGAAATTGTGTCGATACATTCACTGTTTCATGAGCCTGCTGACAAAAAAAAAATTGTACTATAAGTATTTGCACGAATACGCCTAGCTTCTCACTCAAGCAGCGCGTTCAGCTGCG